TTTCGGAAAATTTAAGAGATACCATGGCAAAACAGTTCAGAAAGTCAAAAATATCAAAAAAAAAAGGAAAATAACGGAATTTTAAACGAGGGAAAATATGTTTGGGAAGCACAAGAATATTAATTCCTAGGTCATATATTTTCGCATAAAGGAATCAAAGTAGATCGTGAAAAGGCCGAAGCGATCCTCTCATTGAGATATTCCTACAAAAAGGAGGAGACTATTTTGTCTTGTTAACTATTTTGGGAAAATTATTCGTGACCTGGCGAATTGCATAGGGCCTTTAAGGCAACTGTTGAAAAAGAAGAGCCTATTCAATTGGGGCAAAAAAAAAAGGGGAAAAAGTAGAAGCTTTTGCAGATTTAAATCAAAATTTGGCTTGAATACAATGTTTATCATATTTCGACCCAAACAAAAAAACGCGCCTTATCCGGGGTAGAGAAACGGTACTCCCAGGCCGAAATGGAAAGTCTTAGTATAGGCGGTTTAAAAGTTATGTTTTTATTTAGCCGGATTAGAATTCGAGTTTGTGACGGATCACAAGCCATTAGAAACTATTTTCAAACAAACCTCTAACCACCGGTCCGAATAAAACGTTGACTTTTGCGCTTTTAAGCGTTCAAGTTTAAAGTGATTTATAAAGCTGGCAGGGAAAACATTTCAGACAGCCTATCTCGACTGTGCGATTTACCTGAAACCAATTCTAGCTGGAAAATAACGGAAAGTAACATATTTGAAGTTATTGAATACACTGTACCACCATTAAACATTAAAACATTAAACATTTCGGAGATAGCATTGGATGCTGATTTGTTTGAATGCCAACTCTTGGGATAGCGATTCATTAAACAGTTTTTATCCATTTCGGTACAAAATCTCTATGTTAGAAAAGATCCTGTTACGGGGAACACGAAAATTTACAGCCATCACTGATGAAGAGAATAAAAGTAGCTTATCTAAACAAAGCTTATTTCCGAAAAGACATTCAGCAATTTATTTAAATGCATAATGTTACTCTGCACAGTACAACTAGAACCTCTCCCTAGTTCCTCATGTTTAATCGAATGATAAGGGACAAGATTCAAAACGTGCAAAATGTTTCCAAACGTGCACATTCCAAACGATTCCAAACGTGTACATTTAAGGGGTTATATAGCTTTTTTTATTTTCAAAAAATCGAAAATTTTTGTATTGCTTTATCTTGAAGAACAACTCCTTGAGAATATTTTTCCAAATTTTCATAGAGATTGGAGCAGTAGAAAAAAAGTTACAGCGCTCCTAACCGCGAGCCTTGTCGCGGCCTTGCACTGAACTTGAAACTTTAAACGCGAATATCTCGAAATGGTGTTTCTTGAAAAATGACTTTGCGGTGACATGGATTGGTGGAAAACTACTGAACCGATTTACTTCAAATTTTTTTTAAATGTTCGTAATGAAATTCTTCTGTGCTTGAACGATCGACTTTTCACGCACAAACTTTTTTTTCGCCGAAATGAATTTTTTAGTAAAATTTTTAGAGACCAAAAAGTTCATTTTTAGCATAAAACGTTCCCGTATCCATAACAAAAAAAAAATTTTAAAATCGATCGTTCAAGCACAAGGAATTACATTAAACTAATGAAATTTTTTTTACTTTTATGGTTTCAGTTGGCCTGTTTGACCTGGGGAACTGTCACCGCAAGGCTCTAACAAAAAGAAAGCCTCTAAGGGAAACAGCCACCCTTTAAAAACTATTTAATATTTTCCCACCAAATTTTGCACAAACATTGTTAATAAAGCGTTCTATCAAAAAATTAAAACATCCGTGTAGTTAAACAATTGCTACATACCTAAAAAAAATCCGAACTTTCCTCTTTTTCTTCGACAAAGAAGGTATATAACCCCTTAAACATTCGTCGGTGGACATTCGTCCCGAGCAAAGCAACACATCGTCTGGACTTAAGCTCGTTAACAAAGTAGGGATATGAAAACCGGTGCGAGAAAGTGTCATTGAGAGAGGCGATGGTCCGTGCTCTGAAGCGGATTAGGCGGACGGAGAATAGAAGCAACAAGCCTACAGCAGACGTGTGGTAATATACTTACATATGTACAATAGACTATGAACGTTGTTAATAAAATATAAGAATTGAAAAAGGACTATACATGGAGCTAGTTACGGGTTAATAAATACTACTTACCACATCATCGTGTATTGGGTCAAAATGTTCCGTCAAAACTGAGTGGGTGAAAAAACATAGAGAATTTGAGAGAACCATGTGACGAGAGGATCCGTCAGATCCTATCAAGCACTTTCGACTTTGCACGCTGACTTTTGCAGTTCAAGTACTGGAACAACTGGCTGCTGACCATCGGAGTAGTTTCCAACTGCAGCAAAATATTTGATGGAAGATTTCTAACAAGTCTTCTAATGGAGGATAACAAGGAATCCTCAAAATAATCGATCAACGTTCTAGGGCTGCACCCTAAGAAGGACACATTGTCGTACACTGTAAATTTAACAAAGAGTCCAAATTGCACCAAGAGGCAAATGTTGTCGGATTTCTCACGTATTTGACCCTCTTGGTCTATTGGCTCTCATCGTAATTCAATTAAAAAATACTATTTCAAAAACTCAGGCTATTGAATTTGAACTGGGATGACGAACTACGGAAAACTACTTGTCGGATGTCTCACGTATATTTGACCCTCTTGGTCTATTGGCTCTAATCGTAATTCAATTAAAAAATACTGTTTCAAAAACTCTGGCTATTGAATTTGAACTGGGACGACGAACTACGAAAAAAAATTATTTGACAAGTGGTTCAAATGAATTGAACAGATTTTCAGACGAAACGACGAAAGCATACGCAGCCGTAGTGAACAGCCGAATGGTTAACCAGGATGGAACCATACTTGGTAGATGGTAGCCATACTTGCAGCAAAGACAAGGGTGAAACCTTTAAAGCAGCGATCTCAGTCACGCCTGGAACTATGCGGCGCCCTTCTTCTGAGCCAACTTTTGCAATACATCTTGGCTGGATTTAAACACAAGGACGTGCATCATGGAGCGACTCCACGATAGACGTTAAGACGTTTGTTGGGAACGTGCGTGCATGGTGACATGAAGACTTGGAATCGAACCCAGCAGATTGTTGTTCCCGGACCTTAGGAGTATCTGAATTCATTGACATCCAATTGTGGTGGAAGTATTGGACGTCATGAAGGAGCTGAAGGACAAGTATCAATTATTAGTAAGGTTGAACAATTTTCACAACTGTTCTTGTCTGTCACACAACTATCGATTAGTATTTAGGTTTTGGCTCATATTTTCATCTTTATATTTTTTATATAGATAAGACCTAAGATAGTGGATATTTGAGTTATCATTCCCTAATTAATCATAGGCACACATTAACATAAATACACTATACAGATAACGAACTAAGTAAAATTTAAAACAAGAAAGAAGAGCTAACTTCGGAAAAAGCCGATGTTGATATACCCTTGCATTTAAAATGGGATATATATCGCAACCATCGGATATAGTTTGTCGATCCTTATGAGAATATCATAATAAAACCAATTAATTACAATAAAATATCTAAAAGAAATCCCAAGCTTCTATCTTCAAAAATATCAAAGTTGGTATTTCTGCCAAATACCATTTCCGATCGTTCAGTTATATGCCAGCTATAAGATATAGTCGGGCGATCGTTATGAAATTAAGAAGGTCGGATTTACTAAAAATAGAATCTGTACTAAGTTCCAGCTTTTTATCTTCAAAAACACAAAAGTTGGGTCATATCCGATCGTTCAGTTATATGGCAGCTATAAGATATACTCGGCCGAAAGAAATTTGGTAGGTCGTTTTATTTTGCCACACATCGCACTCATGCAAACTCCGAACCCTCTAACTCTAAAAATACTGAAGTTATAGCATTTCCGATCAATCAGTTACATGACAGCTATAGGATATAGTCGGCCGATCCGGGCCGTTCCGACTTATATACTGCGTGCAAAGGAAAGAAGGGTGTGTGCAAAGTTTCAAGACGATAGCTTTAAAACTGAGAGACTAGTTCGCGTAGAAACAGACAGACAGACGGACCGACGGACAGACGGCCATGCTCATATCAACTCAGGAGGTGATTCTGATCAAGAATATATATACTTTATAGGGTCAAAGATGTCTCCTTCACTGCGTTGCACAATTTTAGACAAAATTATAATACCCTCTGCAAGGGTTTAAAACAGTGGTCGGCACCCCAATACATTGATATGATTTTAACGCATAAGTGTTAGTTCCGAGTAGCAGAAAGTAGGCTGTGAGCATGACGATTCACACATTTACACTGTGTGTGTGTGGCAGAGCTCGGGCAGAGAAATTTCCTATACCCTCGGGATAGGGCCGTGCCGACCTCTGGTATAAAAAGAAAAGATCCCAGAATATGGACCTTTATGGACTTTTTACTTCAGGAAACATAGTAAGTCCTATTTAAAATATGTATCCTAACCATTTTTATAATAACCGAGCAGAACGAGATATGGATTAAAGAAAACGGAGGTGCACACAAAAACGCTGTAGGAATCAAAAAACAGATTTTATATAAATATTTCAAAATAAATAATAATATAAAATGTATGGTCTCGAAAAAACAAATTTACGGTTTTTGCCCGATTTTTTTGCTTAGAAAAGCCGTTTAGTTTCAGTTAACCGTGTGGGTACTGTTTGTTGTTGTAATGATTGGGGTGATAGGGGACACATAATCGCAGGCTTAACTAGAGGTGTAAGCACGATTAAGGGAAAGTCAGTCACATTTCCTTTATTTATTTTCCGGAATTTTCCGGAACATTTTATAACTTGTTTCACTTTCACCCAAACTATCTCAAACTAAACAAATTTAGACAATGGTTTGAATAAAAATGTTTTCATTAAAACAATACAATTTTTTATTACTCATTCTGATCAAACCAACAGAGAAAATGCTTAAATCTTCGGCTATATATGGGTTCTGTTAAAATATTCTAGGTGAATATAAAGTTATATTTTTATTAGTTTTGAAAATAATAATTACATAGTTACTTAAAATCTACACAAGCTTCATTTGCACTACTATCGTAATAACATAATGGTCCTACATTGCTGACTGGGTAAATCCATTTTTGTGATTCGGTAAGGGATTTGGAGCTGATTAACGTTTCATAATTGTGTAGTGGACGAATTGAATGATGCTGCGTATTGGTGAAATTTGAAAAAGCGACTTGTTGTTTTATTTTTAAACTGCATTCTTGATCTTTAATTGTCATGGATTTAGAGTAAAATGTATCTTTAATTAATTTTGAGTTTGTTGTTTTTGAAACGCTTCCCTCGATAATAGTTTTGGAATTTTTACGGTGAGTTTTTGTTTTTGAATGTCTGTCCAAATCATCCTTTTCCTGAAAAAAATATTTTATTTTGAAAGGTTATTAAATTTGAGAAAAATAACGACTTAATGCTTAACAAGAAAGGAAAGCTAACTTCGGACGGAGCCGAAGTTTATATACCCTTGCATTTCAAACCGGCTATATATCGCAAACATCGTATATAGTTGGCCGATCCTTATAAGAATATCATAATAAAACCAATTAGTTACAACAAAAAATCTAAAAAAAAAGTCCCAAGCTTCTATCAGCTATATATTATTTGACAGCTATAAGAAGTAAGTCGACCGATCGTTATGAAATTCGGTAGGACGCATCAACTGACCAAAAATATAATCTGTACGAACTTCCATCCTTAATCTGTTCAAACTTTCTATTTTAAAAACACGAAAGTTGCGTCATTTCCTTTTGTTCAATTAGGCAGCCGATCCTCGCCCGATAATCGGCCGATCCTTAATCGGCCGAATAGCACTCATGCAAAATCCAAATTTTCTTACTCTAAAAATACCAAAGTTATACCTACCTATAGCTATACCATTCCAGTCCAAGATCCAAATCGGATAGTTCTATCGGGCGATTTGGATGAAACTTTTGAGATATAAATTATTTATCGCTGTTCACGGCAATGCACATGGTGGCAAGCCGCATAAATTAGCGTGTGCGTGAAATCACTATATATAGCGTCAGAGTTAAAAATGTTCTGTGTGCGTCCGATTTCAATGAGTCATATATCAAACGAAAGGTATGGCTCTAATTAGATAATTTTTTAGTCAAAAAATTTGCCAAAAGTCTATCAGTTTAAGAGAAATTTGCGTAAATGGGAAATGATTTTGCTTCCCAATAAATATATAAAATATTTTTTTAATATATTTTATGGAAACAGGTGCCTGTACGGTTGTGTCTCTGCCGTGGATGATGGCTAAACGCAATCGGCCAACCCTCCAGTTTTAACCTGGATTATTGTGATAAGCGAGCTATCACAATAATGGACGAGCCCCTTCCCGTCTACTCGTGGGTTCAAAACATGAATACTTCAAACACAAAAGCCAAAGTGGAAACTTCCTCAGAAAGTCCGGAAATGGGGTCAATGATCCGTCAAACTCCAGGGACCACCGAACGGCGTGGAGAGGAAGATTTCCGGGTCAACACCTGGGCGGTATCCACCCCAAATCGAGCGGATATTATAAGGTGGGCAAGAGAAATCTTACCCGACATTCAACCGGCATAGGCGGAAATGAGGATGGAGTAGACACCTCTACTAAAGAGATCGCGCAGGGTGCGCAACGGCAGAGGTCTACCGAAAAAGGAGCGCCCAAGGCCCTTCTTCTTCGCCTTGGGCGCTCCTTTTCAAGCCGCAGCCGACTAACCGTTTGTTCGCCGAAGATACGATGGGCAGAACACTCATTGAAGTCCTTGACATTGGAGTAAGCTTCATGGAGAAGATGCTGAAAAGCGGAGGAATTTGAAGATGCAGGCTGGCATCAGGATCAGGCTGGTCAAGGCGATAGCATACCAAGACGCGTGATCGGTGTACCTGCACAAGCAAAAGATAGCCACGCTTTGAGAGGTCTACCCCGGTGCAAAGCTGGAGGTGGTTGTCTAGGACGAGACCCGCAGACCATTCTGGCGGTGCTTAGAGGATGCAATCCGACACTTCCCACGGCGGAATGGAGAGTTGTCAAGGTGGAGAATGCGGTGGGACTACGGAGGCTAGTTTTTCTCATGCTAAATGAGGATACTGCAAGGATCCTGAAGGAGAAAGGACACCATATTAAGTACGGCTTCGAGCATGTTCCGGTCCGGGTTCACAAATCAGATACCAGAAGCCAGACTGGAGGTATCGAGCTGGAGGCAGAAGTTCCAGATCCAGGCTTGGACGAGCCGACCAAAGAAGGGCGCCCGGATGAAAAGGAGGGCATCCTGGAAGTGTACATCCTGAGAAAAGCGACTTGGCAAAGGCTCTTAGGATTCTCTGCGGAGCTCCATGATGGAAGCAGAGGATACTGTACTGGAAAATCTCAAGGAAGTCTCTCACAATCTTGCAAATAAGCCTTCATTACAGCAAGGCGGCATCAGTTGCACTCCTACTCCACCTCGCCGAGAGGGGAACTGGCCCTCATCCAGCAACCCTAGATTCTTGGAGACAGGATTTTTGGGTTGGGAGTGTCGGTGTACAGGCTTTGTAAAGCCGATACAACAGGTAAAAGGCGAGCCTGAATCTTCGCATAAAAGAACCTTAATCTCTTTTTGCTACCTTATTTCAGCAATGAAGATTAATAAGCCGCAGCAATAGAGAGCCTAAGGAGGCCGCTAAGGGTATACTCGGCGTACAGGGGCCACGACCAAGATGACCTCTCCCCGCACTCGCTGTTCAAACAGCTAATGGAAGACCTGGAGAAGCACAACGCTAGCAGTACTGATAGCAGTATTCAATCCTCAGCTAAAAGATCGCAATCCTAGGAAGGCAACCTGGGAGCTTTACAAGACTAAATTGACAAAACTAAAAAGATCCTTGGGGGAACCTCCAACAAGGGACCTTAACAACATGGCAGATTTTAACTCTTTGAGGGGCACGCTAACGGTGGCTTGTGCCAAGGCATTCAATAGAGGCTGTCTTAAAAGTAGATTGGGCAAAAGCAAGTCGAAGAAACTACAATGGTGGTCGCCAAAAACTTACACCCTTCAAGACCAAGGCCCGAAAAGCCTTTAATTTCGCTAGTAAGGCAAACACAGAGGTAACCTGGGAGGCGTATAAAGCGGAACTCAAGCAGTACAACAAAAAACTGAGGAATGTAAAGGGCAAAGAGGAATACCTGGACCAGGTTCTGCACAAGTTCTTTTGTACCCTAAATACTTTTTAAGGGAACTCGAAGACCTCCCGCCCGAGAATGATCCTCGCCATCACTGCACCTAGTGTAAGGTACTTTAAAATCTCGGATGGTAGTTGGACCACGTCTAGCAAGGAAATCCTAGAAGCTCTCACAAACGCACCCACAAGACTCGAGTCCGGTCGAATATCTCTTAAGTAATAAGAATCTTAGTTGGGCGATAAGCAGTTTCAAGCCCTTTAAATCTCCAGTCCCTCTTCCAGAGCTAATATAAGGTCATGGATCAGGAAAATCTTTACAGCAATCTTTTGAACAGGTGTTGTACCAGAGACGTGTCTACGAACGAAGGTTGCCTTCATTCCCAAAGCGGCAAAACCATCGCACTGCTCCCCACGGACTTCAGACCAATGAGTCTGTCGTCCTTCCCTAAGATCCTTAAGACTTAATCTACATCCATCTGATCATCAACCCAAATGACATTTCGGGATCACAGCATGAAGGACTCTGTGTGACCCCATATCGGACAAGCTGACCGTTCTCTCAATATGGCCTAGAACGTTAATCCATCCACGGGGAAGTGGGCTAGTGGCCTGTCCTATCAAACTCCATATTTAGGGAATGGCTTAGAAAAACCCAAAGAATGGCGGATGACTGTCGCAGAACGACACTAGGTGCCCCAGTGACTCAAATGGATACGAGTGGTCAGTTTTTCGGATCGCCGCCACAACCTACCCTAACAATGACGTTAAGAACAAATTGGTCAAATTGGTAGGTTAGAAAAAAAAATTGTAAAATACCCAAAATAGGCTTTAACGATTGAAATCACGTTTTCACGCATACGTGTTACGGGGTGGTATACGTGTGAGTTGGGAAGTGCGGGTCGACGAAAGCGGACGTGCCACGCTCCCGAGCGCCGCGTCCGAACACGGCTTCGATAAGAAAAGGAGTGGTTGAAGGGTGACCGGCCCATTGTGTACTGACTCACCTGCCGAGTGAGCCCAAATACCTCCTGAATAGGACATTAGATCAGACGGACCGCCAAGCGCCGAGGTACGAGGCGCGAAATGGCATTCTCTTTCAGGAACTCTCTTTCTGACACCTTTCTTCTGGTATATAGAAACCAAACAAACGTGGCTGCCTCCTCTATAATTTCCCAGGTCAGGGCAGCTGATCAACAATTAGCTGGTGGTTGGAAAAACGCGATTTTCAGTATCTGGTCGGTAGAGAGCGTTAGTTCGGGGCCGACGTGACCAGGGCGTCGCAATGTCGCGACGGCAGAAGCCAGCTAGGTGGGCCATCTTCTCGAGGGCGAAGCAAGAGGGTAGCATACATTTCACGGCTGCTGCCTGAGGACAATCAAGGGGTTGCGAAAGAGGCTAAAAACATTGGCCTGCTACGATTTGATGAAGGTCATGGAGCTCACCAACTGCGGCGGACATTCAGTCCATCCTGGTTGGGAGTGTCCCGGTGAGCATGCGCGACCGGCTATACTGCCCAAGCCAGTGTGCGCCGGACTTCCAACGATAGTCTGGATGCAAGACCAGGCCATGCAGACCGGTAGCAGTCCGATCTGTGTCGGCCCCTGGAGTGCCAACCGGAAAAATGAAGCGACGGATTTGAGGCCCAAATAGCAGTGCCGAATTCGGCGACTAGGTCCAAACCAGCATTCGCAAACCCGGCGGCCAGTTAAGGAAGCAACTGGAAAACAAGCCCGAGCGCCCAGAGGGGCGGGAGTGGACAAAGGCTAATGCAAGAAGTCCCGACCGGAAACGACCTCGCCCGACGCCATAATAGTCCAAGCTGCGGACATGACGTTCAGCCAGATCCTAAGCATCGTAACTCGCAGTGGGGACGGAAAACTGGATGACCTGCACAGGTCATGGGCACCCATGCGCCGATAAAGTGAGGAAGAAGGAGAAGATCAATAAGAAGGAGGGCTCAACGAAGACCCTTAAAGGCTGGCCCCCGACCTGGCCAATTCGGAGGACATTCCCGCGACTATTGCAAAGCAGGCAACGGTGGACCAGGGCGCCCTGAAAGTCAAGAAACTAAGAAGCAGCTATGGCGAGACCGCTCTCGTGGCTTTCCCCTTAGAGTAGGATTGGATGGTCAGTGTGCCATATGAATGAGAAATAGGTGGTTGCCCCCCTGCTACAGGTGCCTAGGGATGGGAACATCGCAAGCGCT